ATTTAAAAACAAGTAGCTTTTGCAAAATAAGTTCAATCTTAAGTCTTATTTATTCCAACTAACAATCTAAATAGTTTAGTAGTAATTTACTTTTCATAAAATTTAAAGATTTTGAATTTAAATTATATAGTATGCAAATGGAGTACATTAATAAATAAGTGAGGGCTACTTTTCAGTATACAACCTAAGGTAAAAAAAAAAAAAAAATCTTATTTATTCCTAATTTGTCAAATAAGTTTTTTAATAACCTTATTTTTTTTATTTAACCAATGAATAATGATTTTTCCAACCAAACAACCTCAAAACAGTAGACATAGTTAATTCAGGTAAAAATTTTAGTTGCATGCAATTATATCCCACCTTAGGGCTTTTGCTCTTTGTTTTCTGACATGAGAGCTTTTGCTTATAGATATGGGTGTCACTGTTAGACACTCCATAGTTTTACTCCTTAATTTGTTGCCCTGCCTCTATATCCGCACACTAACCCCTTTCCTTCCTTTGATTATTGCTTTTTTTGATATCTAATCTTTGCCCAAATAAAACCCTAAAGTAATTGCTTCTCTGGTCAAATTTTCTCTCAACATGATCTTGTTGATCCCTAAACTAAGAGAATCATCATCTTTGAAGTTCTAGTTGCAAAATCATCTTAGCTTTGGTTAAGAGATTTAAGATATTTGTTGAAAGCTCTTGTATAGGTTGTTGAGTTTTTAAGGTGACTATTCAAAGCCTTGTTTCTTAGATTAACTACTTTGGATTAATTTGGGTTTTACAATTCAATTTATAAAGTAGGCCATTAGGGATTTTGTAACATTTTTCTTATTTCCTTAATCTCTTTTGAGTTTCAATCTCATAATCCCAATTTGGTTTTATTGATTGATTATATTGTTATCATACAATGCTATTATCTATGCTATAAGTTCATTGATTAAGTGTGGTAAGTTTATGGTAGTTAGCATTGATGATACTTAGAGTTATTCTTTGACCTTTCAAATGATAGTTCTAATATGTGGATGGTTGGAGTGTTAATTCTAAGGTTTCAAGAGGAATTTGTTGTGAATTATGAAGGGTTTTGGCAAGGGGCATTCAAAGGAGATTTAAGATTTTCATTTGTGTTTCTATCTTGTTATGTTCTCTAGACAGAAAAAGAACATCACCGTGTTTTGTCCTGAGTTCAATTTGGTATGTTGGTAGGAGTTGGGGTTTTAAAACACTCTTTTAGAGGGTGGTATGGTTTGCCTTGTTATGTAAGGAGTTAGTTGCAGGTGTTTTTCCAGGAGTTTCACCAATTTGATGGAACTTTTCACCTTCCTCATAGAAAGTAGCTATTATTGTCCAAGCCCTACTAGGATTTGGTTGAGGGCTAGACTTTACAAATTCATCCTTCAGTCCCAGTGTTTTGAAAACCGACCCAGAGATCAACCTGTTTTGACCTCCAGGTCCCAGTTTGATTGGTTTAATTAGTTAAATCGTGAAAACCATCGGTTCAATCAAATATCCATAAATATAATGTTGTGCAGCATCTAGTGCTAACCTTGCACTAGTTCCATTGGTCTGCAGTCTTGTTTCTCTCAAGGAGGGACGAGGTTCGAGCCCAAGTGATTGCAAAATTTAATTAACATGTCTCTACCCTCAACTCATAATATATTAAATGTAATTTTTATAATTAATTTATATAAAAAAATTGTAAAAATTGATTTTAAATTAATTAATTAAAATTCTAATTTTTATAATTTTTTTATCTAAATTAATTATAGATAAATGTTAAAATTTTATATTGTTACATTTTTTATCTATAATATATTAATGAGTTTTTCTTACAAAAAAGTAATGGTGAAATAAATATATTTTTTAAT